TTTTGTTTAAGAAGGTCTTCCTGGTTGGTAGGGAGAAGTGTTCAAATAACTGAAGTAACGTGTTTGGTGCCAGGATGGAGGTGGGTGCTGAGTGCTGTGGGAGCCCAGAGGGAGGGGGGAGCTGGAGCCTTGAGAGCCTGGAAAGTCATGCGTTAAAGCTGGATCTCAGGATGAACAGGCAGCTAGAGGGCCTGGAGCATATTCCAGGCCAAGGAAGGCCCTCCAACCCGGTGTTCTATAACCGGCCTCCCCAACTCTGTCCCGCCTCTAAATTTGGTCTGGCCCGCCTGACTGGGCCTTGTTTGATCTGTCCACACGGGGCAGGTGGAGTTGTTGGTCCCTGCCTCTCTGGCCTCCTCCATCGGCTCTCGAAACAACTGCCCCTTTATCTGACTTCATCAGAGCTCTGAAACAGTTTTTCATTTCCCCCTTTTCTGCCCATCGACTACTGCCTATTAATTAGTGCTGTTCTGCTCCCTACCCTCAACTGCCCTTCACGAACCAAGCTGCCCCTCCCTGAGACATGATTACAGATCTTGGCTGTGTGGACCCCCTGCCCCAGCTGCCAGAGTGGCCACAACTTGGCCTGATGCTTCATCTTGATTAGCCCTTCACGTCACCCCTCCCTCCTTCCCTCTGTCTTCTCCATGACATTGCCGGGCCTGATACTGGCTGCAGGTTAACATCTCATGTGATAAGCAGCACTCGTCTCACGCTGCTTCAGATCTTGGAGAACAGCTCTGGGGCTCAGGGACACTGGCGTGATCCCCTCTCCTGACCCAGCAGAGTCTCCCATCAAAACCCCAGTCAGGCCCTGGCCAGTGTGGCTCAATTGGTTGGGCGTTGTCCTGTGTGCTGAAAGGTTGCCAGTTCAATTCTTGGTCAGGCACATGCCTGGTTGCTTGCTTGATCCCTGGTTGGGGATGTGCAGGAGGCAGCCAGTCCATATGCTCTCACATCGATCTTTCTCTTTCTCTCTAAAAATTAATAAACTATTCTTTAAAAAAAAAATAAACAAAAACCCCAGTTAGCTTGTTCCAGATCACTTGACCTCATTATAGATCAGAGATCACAGATTTTGATCTGTGCTGCCTCTTAAACCCTCAGCTCTCGTGACTGCTCCTTTTTTGTTTACTTAGCTGCCATATGAAATCCCAGATGCTCCAAGCTCTGCTTCTTTTCACCCCTTTCTACCCCCCCCCCCCCCCCCCCTT